CCCCCCCCCCCCCCCCCCCCTTCCTCCTCCTTCAGGTATACTACTAGGTCCCGCATGATAACCTCATCCTTTCTGAACCATTAATTGGCTACGAAATATTATTTTCACAGGAATTGTTGTTGTTGTTGTTGTTGTTGTTGTTGTTGTTGTTGTTGTTGTTGTTGTTGTTGTTGTTGTTGTTGTTGTTGTTGTTGTTGTTGTTGTTGTTGTTGTTGTTGTTGTTGTTGTTGTTGTTGTTGTTGTTGTTGTTGTTGTTGTTGTTGTTGTTGTTGTTGTTGTTGTTGTTGTTGTTGTTGTTGTTGTTGTTGTTGTTGTTGTTGTTGTTGTTGTTGTTGTTGTTGTTGTTGTTGTTGTTGTCTTGTTTTTATTTTTCTTTATATCACACAACAAATCTATCTCTATCTATCTATAGAAAGAAGTCTAAGATTAGCAATGAATCCGTAGCGTGAGCGAAAGGCTACTTGTTGTTGTTGTTGTTGTTGTTGTTGTTGTTGTTGTTGTTTCTCACATTAGCTCAATAATAATATAATAGTCCACAAAAAATGGGGAGCCCGTGGTCTACCTGTCTGTATGTCTACGGTTTCCCAGACAGCATACAACGATATCTGCCCTGTGGGTAACAGGGTCAACAAGGCAGCTTGGTAGCCATCTTGTGTATCTATCTATATGTTATGTTGGGAAATTGTAGACGGAAGATTTAGGGGAACCCGGTCTGTCGGGTGTTCTATGGCACCCATATGCGGTTGCGGAGTAAGCGCGTCTCGGGGTGTGTATATTTTCGTCATCAACTTATTTTTTGTGTGTGACGTGTGGGGGCATGTTGTGCGGCGCGGGAGAATATATTTATTTACCTTTTTGTGTAATGGCATGTCGTTAAATGTGAGAAGGGCACGGGAGAACATTATCTCATCATTGCCTCCAGACGGGGCCGCCGATAGAGGCGTGTGGTTGTTGTCTTCACATTAAAAACCGTTCCGATCTCTCTCTACCCAGTGCCTTCGTATGTCCGTACTGATCCAACACTCGACACGGTCGATTTCCGTGGTCGCAGGCTAACTTACCCTAACAAGGTACACTCAAAAGTTGGCGCCGAGGGGTCCGCAAGTCAATAAAAATCAACGACAGATATTCTGGAGCCCTCCACTCCCTCTGCGTGCTATGCGAGATAACAACTGAGACTAGGAGTCACCATCACGGGCCGGAGAAAATTAGGTACACCTTCCCTTGGTTCAATCTTGGTACTTCACAACGCAAGCAGAGACAAGGCCATCTGGCACAGAAAAAGAGAGAAAAAGAGAAAAAGAGAAGAAAATGGTGGAGAGACCACTAACGACAAGCAAGCACGCAAATATCGCCACCAACCAGCGATACATTGTAATGGTACGTCATCGCTAGTGGGGCGTTGGTGCAATAATGCAGCGTTGGGGGGGGGGGG